GGGGTGTTGGGGGGGTGTATGGGGGTATTGGGGGTCACTATGGGGGCGTTGGTGGTGCTATTAGGCGTTCTGGACACCCCCCCCAAAAAAAAACATTGTTTTTTTCTTTTCTTTTTGGGGGTGCCGACAACCCCTGACCGGTAGGTGCCCGGGGGGGAATGGGAGGGTTGGGGTTGGAGTATAGGGGGTGTATAGGGGGTGTATAGGGGGGTATAGGGGTGATATAGGGGGTATTTGGAGGGGTAATGAGGGTGTTGGGGGGCGGTTTGAGGGTGTTGGGGGGGTGTATGGAGGTATTGGGGGCCGCTATGGGGGATTTGGTGGTGCTATTAGGCGTCTGGACCCCCCCCTTTTAGGGTGCCGACAACCCCCGACCGGTAGGTGCCGACCAGCCGATCGGTCGGTGGGTCGGCGGCCGACCAGTCAAGGGCCGCCGACCGACGGGGTGTGCAACCCTGGCCTGATCCAAAAATTTACGGGCTGGGCCGCCATTGATCAGTTTCATCAATAGCCTTTGTCCTGTTTCCGGCCTCTGAAAGTCTCCCTGCCTGCGGCTGACATGGCCATGTACTCGCGGTTAAATATGCCACATGTCTGCAATGCAGATATGGACGCGCAGAACACATAAATGAAAGTCCACTGGATTCGCCCACTCAAAAATGCGTACCAAGGCAAACTGGAGGTGGTGTGGAGAATGGGCCAAGGACTTGCTGCAAGAGAAATGCTGCAAACCTGATAGTAGAAGGAGGGCCCTTTTCCAGAAGATGCTTCTGACTGTCCCTCTGGTTTCTTCACCACCTTCTGCCCTTGTTTCTTCTCAACGTTTCCATGGATGCGATTCATCCGGTCAACTTCACTTCCCTTCATCTGCAAGAACATATGCAAGCCACACACCAATTCACTCTGCCATGAATACACGCCACAAACTCACCACCTGTTAGCCCCCACGTCACCTCATTGGCCATGAATACTTCAAAACAACAAGCAGTGTGTCAAGGCTGGATACAGCCATGTACCCAGAGGCTCGCATGAAGCACAACATGCATTAACCCAAGTGCTCCTTAGAAAACGGACTCACTCGAATGCACTGTCGCAATTCCTCCACACCATGGCTTCCGTTTCAAGATACAAAACACACTCTAAGAAGAAATGAAGAAAAGGGAGATTGTTGAGGCAGTCTCATGGCTCTCACCTCAAGAATCAATGCTTCATGGCAAGTTGGATCAAGAGCTTCCAGTGACGTCAAGAGTGCAGAAATCTCTGGTGTTCCTGATGTCATTCCCGAGGCATAGGCCTGCTCCCAGGCACTGGCAACCATGACAATTGCAAACAGCAGTATTAATCAGATTGTTAGAGACTCAAAAGAAAAAAACATTGCAGCAAATTTGTTCCCTGGCCAGGAAGAATAAAAAAACCATCGCTCTAGACCTGAGTGCATCAAACGCATTAGCACCAGTTGAATCGCCCGGTACATTGACCAACCACCATACTCAGATGGTGGCTGCTGTGTCAGTAAGCGTCTCCAGGTTTAAACAACCTGGACGCCATCATTCACATGTAAGCACTCGCACGTCCCGTATGTAGTTTTTTTAACCTTTTTTTTATCAATTTGATTTTTACCAACTTGATTTAGTAAGCACTCGCACGTCCCGGAGTTTATCACGAGTTCCAGAGGAGAATGACCAACATTTCGGCCATCTGAAAGTACCTAACTGATTGTTGTTGTTCTCAAAGATCCATAGGAGAAACATGGCAGCTTTGCGGAAGCTTAAGTTAACAACTTATACAAGGGTACCTGTTGCAGCTTCGCTCGTGAAAAAAATTGGAGGGCAAAAAGCAAAAACGTGAAAAGGGGGATGTGTGTTGGGTGGGTTTTTTGGGGGGGGGTCGGGGGGGTTTGGCTGACCTGTGTACTCCTGTTGACTCAGTTGAGGCACTGCTGCAGGAGGTCACAAAGCCCAAACTGACTTTTTTTTCTGTTTTTTTTTTTTTGCTTTCTACATTTGCACGGAAGTTACAGCCGAGAGACCTGTTGAGGGAACATATACTACACTTGATTGGGTTGGTGGGTTCGCGGGTGGGGGAACATATACTACACTTGATCGTGCTGGACGGGGGGGCGTAGTTAGCTAGATTGGGGTGACTCTCTCTCTCTCTCTCTCTCTCTCTCTCTCTCTCTCGTGTGCGCGCGTACACGCACGCTCATGTGAGGGAGAGAGAACCCAATCTACCCGACTACGCCCCCCCCCCCCGCCCCCCAAAGACCAAAAAAAAACACGATCAGGTGTAGTGTCTGTTCCGAGCAGTTGCATATCTGATCCGTGGTCGATCCGTGGTTCTTCAGCCGAACGTTGCGCGTCGTTCAGGCGTCAACAGTCAAACATTGCATGCCAATCACTGTGGCCACCACATCTCACGCTCTACACGTGACGCCGGCCAACCACTCGCCACATCCAACGGCCGACCGCAGTCGATCTCTCTCTCTCTCTCTCTCCCTCTCTCTCTCTTAGTCTTGAAGGTGCGGAGAAGTCTGGTAGCGAGAGGATGAGGGAAAGATGGTGGACTTAGAGGAGGAAGAAGAAGAACTCTCTGTCTCTCTTTGGTGTACCAAGTACTAACCTGTGAAGGTGGCGCCTTGTTGCCGGTACATCAAAGACGAAGCTGGAGCTATGGCGCCACATGTAAGTCTGCCTGGCGTCCGCCACTCTCTCTCTCTCTCTCCAACGCTACTCAAGCTCCTAACAGCGCCCAGCGCTGAAGACTACTCCTAGCGCTACTACTACTGCTGCAGCGCTCCTGCAGAGTGATGTGGCCGCATCCTGAAGACTGCCTCCTGAACTGCACGTGAAGTGCCAGTGGCCTGCAGGGCAGACCAGTACTATACAGTGCTGGTCCGGCCTGGGAGGCTGCTCTTGCCCATGCCGAATCGTGCCAGACCCTGGTGTTGAAGTTCAAACAAAGGTCGACTTGAAACAGGCCCAAAAGTGGCCTGTGCTAAACCCTGGTCTGGTGCCTAAGTTTCAGGGCAGGTCGACTTTGTGAGAGCCTGAAAATGGCCCTCCTTTTCAGGCTTTTAGGCTGAAACAACACTGGGCCTGGAGGGCCCTTATTTTCTGTCTGGTCAGGCCCTGCAGGCCCGTGTGGATGCGCAGTATGCCACAGTCTGCATGCGCTGACGCTGGCTGGGGCGCGTGCCTGCGCTAACTGGTGTTGGGTGCTGCAGGACAGCGGGGCGTCAAGCGGCCATAGCCCGGCTGCAGGGGCGCGGGCGGTTGGAGGCGACGGTGGTCTTCATGAGGCGGCACAGGTGTGGGTGGACAAGGGTGACAAGTGGAGACGAGAATACATACATGGTGTATGTGGTAGGTCGGCATAGGTGTTGACGTCATGTATATTGATCTTCGAAGTCGAAGTGTGCCTGTTGCAACATTGATAAGATAGGTAGAATGAGTAGAGTAGGCTGAGCGCTGGGCGCCAGACAGTAGGAGCGACATTGAATACTGCGTTGATGTGGCCTGAGGGCTTGGATATTGGCTCACGAGTTCATTGTATTGCTCTTATTTGGATGGAATCTCGGTGCATTTGAGCTCTCTGCTTGTTACATGACTATATGGACTTCTGCGTGATTTTGCAACTTGGTTTTCTGTATATCGCTCTCACTCATACTCCTTGCATCCGTGATCTTTCAGGGGAAAATATTTAAAAATTTTGGAAAAATGTTCAAAAATCATTTCAACCACGAAATAAGTGGCGGCGGCAATTCATCGCATTTTCCATTTTTGACACTCTGTCGGGTCTCCACACTATGCTACCAGTAGCCCTCATGAACCTGTGCTACCGGTCCCCCAAATGTCCAACGTCGGGTAGAGTGGTGGTTTAAACCACCAGTACTCTGCCATAGATCGGTCTTCGGGTCGTTTTCGTGCACGAGCCGCGACTCTCGGGGTTCAGGGCTGGTTCAGCATAAAAATAAATTCAAAAAAATGGTGGGCTCAAGCGGTACCACTCTCTGCACCAACGGACATTAGCCAGCCTCCCAAGTGGACCTACCGGCCTCATGTTTGCAGAGAATCCACATCAGCTGACCCAAAAAAATGCTTCTCGACAAAAAAATAACCGAAAAAAAAACATGTCTGTATGGAATGCAAGGCCCCGAGTCTGTGCTCCCGGTCTGACACGACACCATGCCGGTACCGTCAGGGTAGACTGGAGGTTGACGCACCTCGCGATGGCCTCCTATGCCCCGGGTGTTCCATACGGCCTCGAGTCCGTGCTACCGGTCTGACGCAACACCAAGTTGGCCCCATCAGAGTAGACTCGAAGTTGACACACCTGGCAATGGACTCCTACGCCGCGACGCGTTCCATGTGGTGCCACTTGGACTGCTCCGTCTAGACGACGTGGTGTGGGCCTCTCGTGTTGTTTGCGACACAGAAAGTTGGATGTCGATAGGTAGACAGGTAAATTGTATGTGTGTGTGTTTTAGATTTTCCCCACAACAGCCCCAACGAGATCATTTGAGATGTCCAACATATTAAAGCAATTTTATAATTAGACAGTTTTTTGGTTGTCCTTGGGGTACCCCTTTCATTGTTCTTGCAGCTCCCCTTTACTGTGCCTCTTACGCACAAGGCTGCCCACGTTGTCTGTGTGTGTGTTGTTTTAAAAGACCCCAGATTCTCTTTCCCATTCCCTTCACAAATCATCACAAGCCATCCATAACGAAAAAGTTTAGATAGGCAAATAATAGAAAATGCAAGGTTGGCCACATTTGTGTGGTCCAGCGCCAAGTGCCCACACACCCGTCTGCGCCAAAGCGGCACACTTGCACATATACATATGTATACATATATATTGTCACATCACTACAAACTAAAAGAGCGCACTTTGCGGAACAAAGAATAAAAGCAAAAAACGGGCACAGTGATAACATGCAAAAATAAAAATAAAAATAAAAACAAAAAGAAAAAACAAGGGCAAATTGAAACCATTAAATTTCTCATTCTTCTTTGAACTCCACCTCCACTGTGCCTCTCACGTGCAAGGCTCGCCACGTTGATGAAGTTGAG